TTTTTTCCTGCTCTATTAGGATAATAGTTATGTGCACGCAGGAACGTTACCCCACCATGCAGTCATGGGATGACAATCTGTACGTGTGCAGTTTACTCATATTTGTCTTCAGGAAATCTGATCAAAGTCAAATCCCTCATATTTGTCTTCAGGAAATCTGATCAAAGTCAAATCCCATATTGCTGATGTCTCTGATCAAAGAAATCCCATATTGCTGATGTCTCATATGGTTTGGAAGCCATGCAAATAGTGGGTCATCAGCTCAGCAGTCTGATGGATCATCCATTCTGGACAAAAACATGGCTTCAGAGGAGACCAGAATGCTCAAGCTCTTTAAAAATTAGGTAAAAAACCTCACACTGTGGTTGGTAACAATGGCCCAAACAGTCTGCTAATGATACAGATACTTAAGTAACTTAGAGAAAGACATGGATGATCTTCAGACTTGGAGCAAGAGAAACAGGACACAGCACAACTTCTAGGTTCACGGACTCGGTGATTAAAGAGGCTTAGCCTTCAACAATGCTAGAGGGTGAGAAAGACGCAGGATGGCTGAGTCGTCAAATGGTTTTACCAGTGCAAATTGCACACGAGACATGGGGCACCATCACCTACACTATAGCAAGAGCAAAAGATGCATTAACAGCACTGGAAAAACCTTATCCAGGACATTGTGTGGAAAGGCACCTTAGCAGCTTTTCGATCTTAGCCAACCAACACAAGAGGCTATTAGTGGATGTAATTATCATTCATGGAAATGCTTTTCAGTAGGGGCAGAAAGGGGACGGAAGAGAAGAGAACAGGAGCTTGCTGGGTTTTACACTGGAGTTTGGCAAGTTTGCTTGTAACAGCTAGGTATGGGATTCGATGACAGAGCAAGTCCTAAGAGCTAAGCTGTTATCCCATAGGATTACGGAGTCTCATCATTGTTTCACGTTACATCCTATCCTATTCATTAAGCAATGAAAGAACTGCAAATTTGGTCAGAATCTGTAGTATGTGCATGCCTGTAATAGTGTATGTACCTGTTCTTAGCCCTGGTTTTGAACACAGTTGTCACACTGGTGTTGACAAGACCACTCAGTTCATTTAAAACCGGCAACAGGGATTCAGGTAAGAGGACTTCAGTACACTGGCTAGTGACACAATTTCTTTCTGATTTTAATTCAGGCTATAACCCAAAGGTCCATTTGTTCATTAGCACAACCAAAATTATCTAATGAGTACATCAGCTTAGCAGGTTCAATAGCTCATAAATCAGGAACAAAACTCTTAAGTCATTTGGAAGCGGCTATCTTCAAAGGCAAGTCACACTCCAAATCAGATAACTGGCAAGTAGTGACTTAAGTTCACAACTTACGCAGAGAGAGGCTGCATAAAATGAACAACCTCTTTAAAACTACTTATTTAAATACAACAAAATTTTATGTAAATTGTCAATCGATCACAACCATTTCTGGTAAACTGCCTGAGTATATTCACCAAAAATCTGTAGTATGGCTTACTGAAGTTCTTATGTCAACAAATTCAGAATTAGCAGGTAAATTTTTACTTGTTAAACTGTGGAATCATTGTGCAGCAGTATTATTTGGATACGTTCTCTATCTTCCAGTTAGTCATATTAATTTTATTTTAAATTATACAAGAGTCTTCTCCCACATGTTGAAATACATAACCCCCATCCTGCAGGTCCTATGCTCATACGGACAATTACTTGTAATGTATTCAGAAGAGCTGATAACCTCCCCGCTTCAACAGGCATCTACAGCATAGGTGGCAATAACTAGTTCATTTATTAAAATAAAATTAAAAACAAAATAAAAGCATGAGTCTCAATGAGTCAAAATGACTGAGCTATCCCATTGACAATACAAGTACTCTATTTTAGACTGGATGAGGTATTATGTGGCAATTTATATTGCTATTGCCAGTGTAACTAAATACAGTTGATAAAAATATTTGCAATCTTCATGGTTATTAATCTGGCAGCCTTCCAACACACTACATTTTAGAAGTAGGAAACCACAGAATGTAAGCAAACAACTTCTCTCTTGGACCTCCACTGGCTTTGGAGGCTCACACAGCCCTACTAGTTCAGGTTTCGTGTAATGACAAGGTCTCCAAGTTACCAACCTGACGCAAAATCCTCTGCAGAAGAACTGTGCAAAAACCCAAGTCCTGTGATGTTCCCACTCTAGACCATCAAAGCGAAAGTCAGTATTTATTTACATTAAACTTAGTGCTCATAACTAGACTTCTAGTCACTACGTATCTCCAAATGTGAAACTGACTGTTAAAAGTTACACTACACACATAACTGTATCATCATATGCTACAGATGAATTATACCAAAACGAGAGAAGTTGAAAGTACATACTACATTGAAAATACAGTCAGGAGAGCCATTCGTTTGCAAAACAAGAAGCTATGAACATTACACAAAGAGCCAGTATGTTACATCCAGTTCAGTCTGCCAAATCTTGCTGCTTCTTGGTAAGGCAAAATGGAAAGGAAGAGTAAACAGTGGTAAACATAAAATATGCACATAACTCTAACAGGATTATTCAAAATTACATGCCAGTTTGTATCCAAACAAAATACCATGAAAGGCACATGATGAACAGTCCAGTTACTAAAGACAGGATACTAGTATGTGAGGGAAAAACAGCTTCCAGGCGACAGGGTAACACAGAGGCTACCGGGTTAGCATAATGTCCTAATGTGGGTGAACTCCTTGAGGGTCCTGCTCAAAGTCCAGTGAAATCAATAAAAGGCCTATTGATTTCAAGTGATTATAGCTCAGGCCCTAATTTCACGAGCTATAGGCTACCAACTATCTTTAATCCAGTTACCTACACTCAAAGTAAATCTTTGCAAAAAATATTCTTCAGTGCTGACGGATATTTACTCTTCACAAAAGTGCAGAATCTTTTCCTAAAGCAATTACAAGTGACTGACTCCTTCCAGATGGTCTGTCTGCATCCACTTGTACTCACTCATATTTTCTTTCTCCAAAATACTTACCAGAACCTGTCGACTGTGAAGGAAGATCATTGGAACTCCAAGGCCAATATTTTGTCATAATCCAACACGCAGCCTAATCATAAAATATAGTGTTTCTAAAAATCTTACATACTTTACAGTTGCTGACATCTTTAAACATTTCTTAATTTAATCTTACATATATTTGACTTTATCGAGAGACTTAAAAAAATATATTAAAAGGCTGCAAGTGTTGGGTTCACTTATTAAAGGAAATACATGAAAGAGGTAGAAGATTCAGAAACACCGTAGATGTTCCCATCATAATAATATCTAATTGATCATACGGCTGTTGGGCAAGGTATTCAACCGCACCGCACGGAATCGGGTGTTTTATTCTGCAACGGTACTACCTGAAGCTAAGAATTAGTCAATTTTGGAAAGCTGGAGAATTATAAACTGATTTAATATGGCCCAGTTTCTTACTGACTGAAAATTCCCAATCAAAAGACATTTGGTTTACAACAACCTTTAGAAGTCTCAGGTGTTAGAAATGTAACCATCCACTTATACACAGGATTAACATCTCCATGGTAAAGGGTTTGTTCCCCCCCTCCCCCCCCCCTTTTTTTTTTAACCTCACTTGTACTCAGTTTAATGCCCCAAAAAATTGTCAAGGGGACTTCAGGGGCAGCAAGCATAGCGTTCAAGCGCATGGAAAAGGCGATTCCAGTAACAAATAAAAATTAAAAGACAGCAATGCAACTGGCCACTTGCCCAGCACTGTTATTATCTAGTGCAGTGAAATCGTTATGCTTCTCATAAGCTACGCCTTGCCATCTAAAACCGTGTCTGAAATGCTCTATCAAAAATACACAGCAACCCTCACCAGAAGGACTTCACATCACCACATCCTGAACTGACTACTTAGAAGTATTCCCAAATGTCCAGGAAGTTTGGACTGCACATTACTTAAAGACTCTGTCTCTGTTGTCTGCCGAATCATTCTTTATTACATCTGTGAGAGGATACACCGGTCATCTCACTGAACAACGCATTTTAGCTGGTTCCTCTTACGATGATGTAAGACAAAGTGCTCCTGTACTGGTTTCTGCAGTCTACCATACAATTGAGATTGTCAAGACAGTATAAGATACTGAAAAGATAGTATAGATTTTGGTCAAACACCAGTTTCTGAGAGACACGGTTTTACAGTACTGTACTTTCTGTATTTCCAAAGTTGTCTGCTCGTAATATTAGAAAATCTGAAGTGTGATGATGTTAGTCATGACTGTTTCTTTAGGCATTTGGCAAAATACACTTATGTATAACAGCTATTTTTGACATTATCAAATGTTTACATATATACAATCTGTATACTGAGATTATAAACACGTAAGGTAAAAAAAAAGATATAATCCTTGTTTGTTTGACATTTGTGTCAAATAGTTGCCTTTCAAAGCTTGAAATCCTGTCACAAAAAAATCCTATATTTCTTATTCCTGCATGCTAATTTCTACTACAGTATGTTGTTTATCCCTTACATGTGGAAAGTAAAGAACACAAGGTTCATGCATACAGCGTACAAGTTTACATCGGCTGGGCTCTCCAGGAGGCGCATTCCTAGTTCCACTCTGGTCTGACTCAGGACTGCATTAAACCAGAGAAAAAACTCTCTTACGCGGGACTGGCAAACAGACTGCAGTTGGGATTCTAGGTAAGTGTATCTGTCATCATGCGGAATAGCCTTGTCACGTCCGGGCTAATTATCCCCTGTTAATTGTTATGATTTTGGTTGTTCATCAAATCCGTAAAATACTAGTCAACAAAAAAGAAAGAAAGACAAGACTGCTTTTTTGCCTTCCAGATGAGAGGAGGTTCTCACTGTGATCACGGGCATCTCTGTTGATCTTTTGAATTGTCTGAAGAGCAGATGAATGTGCAAGAACTCAGTGATGCTGAGTTTCTATAAAATTCGAAGTAAACAGTTCTGATGTCACCCCAGGAAAACAGTGCAGCTAAATGGACGTCTCCCATAGCTGAAGAGGGGGAAAAGGAACACAAGAGACACGCTGAACACCAAGATAAAACAGGCTGTTATCCAAACAGTGTGAGGAGCTTGTTTGAGGAACTGCATCTACATCACTTGGGTCACCAAGGCTACGCTCTCGGTCTCCTCCCAGCCTCTGGTGGGTTCAGACCACAAAGTCAGCAGTCTCAAGCATTTCAGCATGACTTGCAGTCGGCATAGTAAATATCCACGGCTGGGAGTGCAGAGAGTATGAAGGAAGAATGTCAGTGTAGCATCAACTTTGTGTTAAACAGCTTTTACCTTACAGTTACGCTAACTAATATTTGTGTAATTTCCCCCTCTCTTCTGCCTAACTCTGCTCAGGGCAGCACAAATTTCTGCTGTGGGTTTGAGCTGGTGCCGAGGCAGCTCCAGGGCTGAGAAACATCAGCGCAGCCCTTCCTCCAAGCTGCCTGGGAGACCCTGTGCTGCCCCTCACACAACTTTCTGCCCCGAGCAGGACGTGGGCGTAGCAGCATGCAGGTCAGCAGCACTCCACTCCACTCCTTTTTTTCTTGGAAAGAAGAAAGGACAGAGAGCAGAGATGGGAATCTCATCTGCATCAGGAACAAGAACTAAAGCTATTACAAGTGAAACTCCTAAAGTAAATGTCAGAGGTTTTTTGCTTATTCAAATATCTGCTATGTCTGAATTGACACAAAGGAAGCAACGGCTAGCATTGCCTTTCGGCAGCAGCTGGAAATCTCTCCCTGTGGAGCAGCATCACCATCCACAGAACGTTCCAGCTGTTCCTGCCCACCCTGGGGGGTCAGGGTGGGCTCAGGGTATGTGGCAGCAAAGTTACTCCAGGTCTGCAAGGGCTTGATACAAGCTCTCCACATCCTCCTTAACTGCAGTGTAGTTACCTTCCCATAAATCATAGAATCATAGGATCATAGAATCATTAAGGTTGGAAAAGACCTCTAAGATCATCGAGTCCAACCATCAACCCAACCCCACCATGCCCACTAAACCATGTCCCTAAGCGCCTCATCTACACGTCTTTTAAATACTTCCAGGGATGGTGACTCAACCACTTCCCTGGGCAGCCTGTTCCAATGTTTAACCACTCTTTCAGTAAAGAAGTTTTTCCTCACATCCAAGCTAAACCTCCCCTGGCGCAACTTGAGGCCATTTCCTCTCATCTTATCGCTTGTTACTTGGGAGAAGAGACCGACACCCACCGCGCTACAACCTCCTTTCAGGTAGTTGTAGAGAGCGATAAGGTCTCCCTGAGCCTCCTCTTCTCCAGGCTAAACAACCCCAGTTCCCTCAGCCGCTCCTCATAAGACTTGTTCTCCAGACCCCTCACCAGCCTCGTTGCCCTTCTCTGGACACGCTCCAGCACCTCAACGTCCTTCTTGTAGTGAGGGGCCCAAAACTGAACACAGTATTCGAGGTGCGGCCTCACCAGTGCCAAGTACAGAGGCACGATCACTTCCCTAAAAAAAAGCTGGAAAGCAGCTATCCCCCAGCCCGAATGAGAGTTGCTGGCTGCATCAGCCCCCTGGAACGGGTAAGGGAGGAGAGCCAGACGTGCCGCCTGCTCCAGGGCTGCATGCCCTCTGCAGTCCCAAGGCTGCCCCAGGCACGATCCCAGCTTAAAGTAAGACAACTAGTGAAATCTGGGTTTCAGGGCAGGTTTAAGAGCAACCTGAGCGGATATCTGTAAACACAGACACCAAGGCTGCCCTAATAGCTGCCAGAGGCTCAGCCTTCAGCAGCTTCTGGAATTAAGGGTACGAAGGAAATGCCACTGCTGCTCTCACTCTTAGTCAAAGATGGTGATCTGCCACGCTTTCCTTTTGAAAAACTACCAGCAAATCAAGTCACTGACGAAATGCACAGAGAAGAGAGACACGTACCCTGGCACTTTGCCTGTTGGCTTTTTTCTCCTCGTCAGGAAGTGGTGGCATCGGGTAAGGGTATTTTCTGCTGGAAGCAATAGATCCAGTGGACGAAGATGGAGACTTTGCAGGAGACAGTGTCCTGAGATTTTGAAACACACAAAATAAATGTGATGTCTTCAGGTCCTAGCACTGCAACAGCAACTGCCATTACTCTGAAGCTTGGTTCAGAACCAAGTATAGAGCTTATTATTAGCTCAATATCGGGGGGATAAAGTTGTTTGATCAGTAATCTAATAATTTCACGATATGAATAAAGGTATTTATAGCTTTCAGGAACACTGGAAGAAAAAATAAAATCTCCTACTTCTTATTAGAATTGTACTGCATAACAAAAACAATTTCTTAAACTGTTTTATATGGTACTGTAATTAATCATTATAAAATCAACAAAGCAAATCTGCAATTGAATAAATACAGAACTAAAAGATAGATGTGGCATTATGAAGCCTAAACAGAAACAGTGGTTGTACAAATACAAGCTGAACAATGTCTTCTGCCAGTGACTAAATGGCAATTATCAGTGTCTTTATGTGTATCTTACACATCTCCTATATTGATACAAACATAGCAAATAAATCTATTATTTTATAACACATTAATTTACACAAATGCATGCACTTGGAGGCCAAACTGTTAGTTGTGAAGTAACAAAGGCATATACAAAGTGCTAATAACAAATTATTAGACATGCAAGCATCATACAGTGCATATTGTTCCAGCCAAAGAAAGAGTCTGATGAGAATATACAAAAATGGACTGATTAGTCAATGGCAATCAGCATTTCTGTACAAGGTGAGTAGAGTAAGCAGGAGCAAGTAAATGTTTGTATCACATGAAAGGCATTCTTTTCATGTCAATAAGGCAGCAGCACATTATTGACTGAAATTTTATACCCAAGAAAAACTCTTATGCTTCTGTTTTGAGATTCTGCAATTTTCCCACTTGAGAGGTTCCTATCAGGCTCTAAATCTGGGCAGAATAAAAGGGAAGAAAAGCCTCAAAGTAGAAAAATTGAGCTACCCTAGCCTTCTTGTTCTGTTTTGCAGACTGAGGGCATTTTTCAAAGGAGGCCTCCCACTAGTACACGCACATCACCCAGACCCTCCCTAATCACTGCTGCCTACTATCTTCCAAACTTAACATGTCCCTGAAGATGGAAGGTTTCCCTCGGTTTCTACAGATAGGTCTTCCAAGCCCCTCAAACACAGCAGGGGGCTGCATGTTGTGCAGCTGTAGACCCCAGTGATGAGCACCATCGCTGACACCAAGGAGCCACAGGAACCACCCCTGGCAGACAGCCCCACATACCTGGCTCTGGGATTTGCAGGATCAGGTCCTTTCATCTAGAGAGGATTACAGACAAGGCAGGGACTCTTTTGTGTCTGGAATTGTCTTGTATCTCTATTATCTAAGTGAAATGCATTTACCTTTAAATAGTTATTCTTTTATTTCAGACTACTGTATCATTTTGTTGTGTCTGTAGCTCCCTACAACAGCACACCCTCTTGTCTCCCATACAAACAATGATTGATGGTAGCCACGAGCAACAAGGTATCAATGGAAATTATATGGTGACAGGTCTCCAATCTGGCTCACCATGCTCTAACGCCTCATGCTGTAGCCTCTAAGTTCAACAGCCCTTAAAAGATTTACGTTGCTACAATTGTCCAAACACTGAAGAGTACATCTTCAGCACATGCACTTTGATTACCCATTAAGATGAACTGGACATACATGAATGTTTTCAGGAAGAAAATTTTAAACAGCTACTGCAGTATAAAACAAAGCGTTCGTATGTCCAGCATCACAGATCTGGGCACCAAACTGCACATGCAACAAAACAGGTTGTTTTTTTTTTTAAATCCAGGGAAAGGTTCTCAACAGTGCCCTGCTGTTCACTACCCATACAAGTCCTCTCATCTGTGCCCACACTTGGACTGATAAAGATCACTAATAAACTATTAGTGGATCTAGAATAAAAAAAATAAGGAGAAGAGGAAGGGGGGAAGGTAAAGAGAGCAGATTTTACATATTATTAGTAATCCAATTATTCACAAAGAAGGAAAGGGAAGGGGGGGAAGGTAAAGAGAGCAGATTTTACATATTATTAGTAATCCAATTATTCACAAATTTTGCCCCACAGCTGCAGGAGGATTTAAAATCTTCAGGTTTAAATTTATAACGATGCACCTGGAGATTAGAAGCAAGGAACTGGGGGGTGTTAGATCTGACTTGGCAAGCCCTATCAGAAAGCTGTTTATATAGGTACCACAGCCAGGAGGTGGCACACAGAATGAAGGCATCTCCCATCCCTTGCACCACTACCAGGCACAACATCGCCTCCTGCACACCACAGGCTCTTCCCACAGGTTATTTTAGGCACCATAAGAGAAGGCCATGGTGAGAGGGAAAGCCATGGCCAATATACCTGTCCATCAGCCTGAGTACGTGATCCTGGAAGGAGCAATAACCCCTCCAAGGATGGGGCATCTTGAACATTTTCCCTGCACAGCAGGTCCTCTGACCAGGATCCCTAGCTGAGCCTGTAGCCAGATAGCTTTGCACCATAACTCAAACACAATGCTGCCTTTTCAAAAGATTTTGAAGCCCAGACCTCCAGTGTAGCTGCCTACATTTCTTACTTCTCAATCCCACTTCGTGTTGCCAGCTCACCTATGGTTTGCACGCCTAACTGATGTGCACATTGCTGCTCACCTGCACGTGCAAAGCTACAGCCAAATACATCTAGAATGCAGTTGCACACTTAAAAGAAATGACCTTGCCCTCCCCTCACAGGCCCTCGCCCCTTATTTCTGCTACACAAGTTACGTGCTGGTTTTTGCCATCTACCGAGACTGTAAAAACATATCACTACTAAGTGTATGCTCACAGAGCTTAGGATGCGTCTTGTGTGATAGGCGTAGTTGTTTGAGGTGGTTTTGATCACTTTTCAGGTTCTGCCCTGCAATTGTGTATGTGCTGTGTATCCCAGATTTACATGTACTTTAAATGAGAAAGAGCCAGACATGACCTTTCTCATTTACAGGATGGAAGAAAGACAGCATTCAGGGACACTGGCAGGTAATGCTGGGGTTAAAGGTAGGCAAAACTTTGCAGTTTGGTCAAGGGTGGGATCCATTTAGCTTTCACTGGGGTTTCAGTTCTCCTGCTATCACATCCATTAGCTTTCATGACAAATCTTGTTTCCAGCTGAAACTTATACAAAAACCTAGGAAAGCAGACTGGGTTGCAGACTGCATTCTGCCCTGTACATGCCGTGACAGTTTCAGAGGTTTTACCACCAACCCCAAATAAAGCCATGCACCTCAACACACTGCAAGAATTCTCATTTCTGACCAGAAAGCAAGATGTAGTGGCCACTTCATGTCCGTCTTTCTGTCTTGGAAGCTGAAACTAAGAGTGTGGGGAGACCATGCTGGGATTCACAACAAAATGCTGTGGCAGCAGGAGGACATCTGCATGCGCTCTCCTGCAGCCAGGCACCTGCCTGATCTGCCTTCTTGTCACCTAAACAGGGAGAGTGTTGGCCCACGAGAGACGGTGGGAAATGTGTCACCTGGCCACACAACTAAACATCTTGCGACTTCGAGTGTCATTTTAGCTGAACTCAAGGCAGGTGGCCCTGACAGATCTGAACTGTTCATAAGCTGTGCCTGATTCTGTTTCGTAGACTGAAATAATTTAATGAAATTCACTTAACATTCAACCTGGTGGAAGTGTTTCAAGCCCCAGTGTAGATACTATCAGCCTAACCTGACCTTTGCTGCCGTAGGCTCAGCTCTTTGTAGGACATCATCAGCCTAAATTATCCTACATTAGGAAGTTGGGATCTTCTAAAAACACTGATGTGGCTAAACATTTTAACATTTTAAATGCAGTTCCTTTTAAAAACCACAGATGTGCACAAGTTGCCTCAGAAGGTGCAGCAGCAGAGGGGAGGCTCGGCTCGTGGGGGGCTGCAGAAAAGGCAAAGGCTATGGCTTGAGCCATCCACTTTAAGCACTGCACAGCAATGCCCCAGAAGCAGGCACTCACAGGCTTTAATGAACTCTTTTCCCTAACTCTTGAAATGAAATCCTGATCCTACTGACGTCAATAGGCATTTTTTTCATTGGCTGCCAACAGGGACAATACTTTGCTTTGGTTGTAATGGGGAAAACTTTTTTTCTTCCTTTAAGTACAGTCTAAAGCTGCCTCACCGAGAGCAGGGAGCTAATGGCTGGTCACGGCTCTGGACTCAGCTGGATGCTCACAGAGGAAGGCAAGGGACATCACAGAGCAGCAGAGCCAACTCTGGCTAATGATCAGCTGAGGAGGAACTCAGAAGAAATCGAGGAAGAAAGCAAGAACACCAAAGCACAAAAAAATAGGAGGGAAATGGATAGCCTATTGTCTCTTGCCCTCCATGCTCCTTGCCAATGCCCTTCTGATATGGGATGGCCATTTTCCCTCTGGGTATGCATCCTGGGTCACCATCTAAAAAAACTGTTTTCTTTGTAAACTATTTTTATACTTAAATAACTCCCATAGAATCTAAGTTACTGTAAATATTTGCATTCAATCAAATGTAGGCAGCTCAGTGCTTCAGAAGGTGCCTTCTAGTCTTTTTTGTCTATAATTATCTACAGAAATGCCACATTTTGCAATTCTGACAGTTTATTTTCTGATACCATCATGGTTCCTGAGTCTTTCAAGATTCAGTGAGGATTTTGATTGACCATATTTCATAAGGTCAGTCTGTGCAGTAGCCACTGTAATTGGCAATAACAAAAATAAGTAGTAGTATCACACTGGTAAAACAGCGTGTCTTGCAGCAAACCCGAATTCAGGGAAAGATTTCCTGCCTGGGTTTATTGCTGGGGTTACGCGGCTATGGCCTGGCACGTAAAATTAAAATCTAGCCTAGACTTTGAGCAGTAAAATGAGATTTTTCTTTACAGATCTTATTTTCTTACAGAAGGGAATCCCACAGCTGGGAGCTTTCTGGCACCAGAGACACCAGCTACTATTATTATCACTAATAAAAAGTAATTATATAGAAATACCCATTAGACTTGTAGACTAGGGGGAAAAAAAAACTTGGACACCAGGTGTCAGAGAGACAAATTTTGATTTATACAGGGTTTTTTTAAGCTAATGGAGAAAGTCTTTGTGACGACTAATACCTCTATTTTTCTGAAAATCTGCAGTGTTCCTAGGAATTGTGGGAAGTGGTTTTGTCTTTCTTCCTGATTCTGCTTCAACCCTACGTGCAACAGCATCAGTCATCAACACATTATTCCTAAAACTATAGGGAGACAAGCAAAACAGCAGTGTTACTTTCAGGATGTCTTTAAAAGAAAAGAGAAATCAAAGATGATTAGCAACAAAAATACTACTCAGCTAATTATCTGGTGTAAATGTCATCCTGGGCTATGATTCCTAAAATGTACTATCAGCTGGACAGCCTGACTTTAGCCTGACTTTCTGGTTTCCCAAATAAGATTTGTTTTGTTCGTGGATCACTTCACAGGCTCAAAACTCAGCCACGTGATGTCTAGACACACGGTTCTTAGGAACAGTGTTTTCCAGTCCGTGACAGATTAACCAAAATTGCACCTGAGTTTTGGGGAGAAACTGTTCAGTTCAACCTTTCATAAGCCCATGGCAACGCATCCCGGGAGAAGATTTGATCCTTTGCCTTCCATAATGTGCCTGCAGAATACTTCCCCATGGTTACCTCAATTAATTAGGACATAGAGGTTTCCAAATTTATTCTCTTTTCTCTCTCATTTCTAAAGCTGCTGCTGCAGGCAGTCATTAGTAAGCTTCTATGCTGTAAAATTTTTATGTTATGTTTCATCTCTGCTGATATACAGCCCTTAAAACTCACATGGGTGAGCTTAATCCTCATCTACATGCAAAAAATGCTTGGTTTATCTCAAATACAATTAGAAATGTGACTCATTCAGTGCAACAGTTGAAAACCCTCGGAGTGGGGTATGCTCCCATCAATTTAATCTAGTTACTAAATCAAGAGATACTGATATTAAAAGATGAAAACCAAATTAAGAGTATCCACACAGGAATTTAAACCTGTTCAACTAAACCATTTAAAGTAACATACTTTACACTAGTGCTATCTTCCAATACCATCTTGTCTTTGTTTATTGCGACCACAGGGCTTCTGATACAAACACCCTAAAAGACAGCTACGGGGTTAGATTATGGTGAGTGACTGATGGCCTTGCCTGAACAACGAAGGTCCAGAGGGTGCTTTTAGGAAAAGGTTTGCTAATAAAAACACACCTCATTTCTAGTGTGAGTTTGCCTAATTTCACCTTCCAGTGACTTTTGGTCATTATCAGTCTCAGTCTGCTAGTCTAAAGGACTTCCCACGAAGGTTTTGCTCCATATGCAGCTATATGGATTTTATGATCAGGTAAGCATTTAGCTGCTCCATTAAACTGAACAGCTTGAGGCCCCGCAGTCCCTTCTAAGGTTTCTCAGGCCTTAATTCTCCCCAGTTCTTGAACATGCTTGTTGAACTGTGGATACCAGAACTGGACCCTGTATCCCAATGCTAAAACCAGCAATGGCAAAACTACTGGATTGACAATACACCCTGCCTGAAACCCAAGCACCAACACCGAGACATGGCTGATACCGGCTGGCTGGCAAAATCACAACACCCTCCCCTAAGCCTTGGATTCTTGTGTCAGGGATTTTTACTCCTTGTTCAGGACTGGCAGGCTTAAATTTACCTCATTTGCCCTATTTGTTCATTGGAAAGCCTTTCTGCAACTTACTCTGTGATTTAAGGGTTCTTGAAAGCAAACACAAATGGTCTAAAACAGTGACAATTTTATGCTCTTTTAAGACTTTGGGACAGTTCTAAAAATGACTAAATTCCCACTCTGCCATTTAATATCTGCCAGTGCTACTATTGGAATAGAAGCGTTTCATTAGCATCTTGTGATACAACTTCCATGTTTTTTTCCCAAATACACACTGGATGTATTTAGTGACTGTTTCTGCCCTTTTGCATTATTATTAGTTCTACTAATGTAGCAAAATTATTGTTAAGATTCTATTTACTCGTTCTTACCATCCTTCACTGTTTTGGCTAAAGATTTTGCTTTGTATTCTTTTTCTTTGTGTTTCTATAATTCTTGTTTCAGCTTAAATTTTGATATGTCAACTTACAGCTTCATCAGTTTCTTTCATGTTTTATATTATTTGTCATAAATTGTCTTCCATTCTCTCCTATGCTAGCTGATTTCTTCAGCTGATGCAAACTTCTGTCTCAGCTGTGGAATTGTGTCTTTTGGGAACCTACTAAAATGTTCTCAGTCTCCTGATTCATGTACAACAGGGAGGCCAGCCTCATGCATGCTTATTCTCTTTAACTTGGAATGTATCAAATAATACACACTTTCCCCTCTCAAAAACAAGTGGTATTTTTGGTTGAACCCTACACTCACTTGTAACAGATTCATTAGTGGTTTGATAAATACAGCACAGAGTATATTCTCATACATTTAATTTTCCAATTACAATATATTAATTATTTCATTGTATGTTGATGGTAAAATACCACTACTTTTTATTCTTTTTTCATTTAAATTTTAGTATGCACTATATAAGACAGTGGGTAGAGTCAATGTGTTATGAAACCACTTGCTTCAGTAAATTACATTCTATTTAAGTTAATACTACTTTATTAGTGATAAATATGTCTCATGCCCATAAAACACTACTTGGCATAAAATGATGAGAAAGCTACTACAAGCTATAGATGATGGTGGGAACGCATGCACTACACACACCCTTTTCAGTGGCTTCATTAAAACATTCAGAAAAAGAATTGTAAATTGCACATGAAGCCGAAAACAGACATCAAAATGCAGCAAAAGAAGAGGGGCCCTTTGCACCTACAGTAACTTGTATTGATTTATACAAGGTAGGAGTCCCAAGATATTTGTATATGCTGGAACAGCTCTTAAAAATGATATAGAATTAATTTACAAAATACCTAAAGTATGGTCCTTCAGTGTTTTTATTCACATCTTCTACCCACTTAGCTACATTATATTCTCTTTTGAACCATGGGTTTAAATACCTGCAGAAAGCAATGGAAGGAACAGAGAAAGCAGAAGAACAAGAATAGAAAATCTGAGAACACACAGCACAAGCTTAGCAAGGATGTCTTCATCCCCAAAATGCAAGTGAATATGGCAAATAAATCAGTATGAATGTTGGGTGAGGACTAGGCAATGTGTACAACTGCATGAGAAAATCTGACCTACAACAAGACTCATATGTTTGATTAATCTGGAAACTCTTTGGGATACACCATTCATTTAATGTCTTAAGGGTAAAATTCACTCCTGTGCAGAGGGCCAGCATTAAGCTCATGGTTTGAACTCCTCTCATGATCTCAGAATAAGGATGAAGGGGCATTTTGGCTCCAGTCCTGCAGTTTGTTTGCTGAAGACACACGTTTGCACTCATCTAGAATAAATTGCAAGATAATAGCTTAATGAGCACAGAAACTTGGGCTTGGCCCTTTCTACAGGAATGAATTTCGGCCCCAGTGTGTTAAAAGGCTTGAATTGTTTGCCACTACAGTGGCAATTTTTACACTTATGTGCAAATAACACTCTGATTTTTCAATGATCATTTAATTTGGTAGGACCACAAGAAGCTTTAATGGAGGTGGGCTGCAGAGTTATCTCACATTTTACAAAAGCAATCTCGATACCAAAACCACACATTTTAAGAAAAAAGTCTGAGCTGCATACTCATATTAGTTACATGAAAACTATGAAATAAAGATGGCGTTTAATTATCTGACAGTAATACTACCAGGGAAGAATATTTTTTTTTGGTAACTGGTTTCTCTTAGCCCCCAAGAATAAGATTAGCGAATTCCACCCCCTCTGTCATGTTAAAAAAAAAGGGCAATGTAGAAACAGGAGTCTGCCTGGTCCAATTTAATGTCTGTTCTTTTTGTATAAGAATAGCAACAGTTTAACGATTATTTGTGATCACCACCTTTATATAATAGAGACTAGCACACAGCGAATTCCCCCCCTCTGTCATGTTAAAAAAAAAGGGCAATGTAGAAACAGGAGTCTGCCTGGTCCAATTTAATGTCTGTTCTTTTTGTATAAGAATAGCAACAGTTTAACGATTATTTGTGATCACCACCTTTATATAATAGAGACTAGCACACTCTGAAATAGGAAACAGGGAAAAAGGGAAAGAAAATTCCTCTTTAAGTTATTTTCGATATTTCTGGGCCAGTTCTCACCACGCCTGTTTATGAGAGTGATCTGCCTGGTCCAATTTAATGTCTGTTCTTTTTGTATAAGAATAGCAACAGTTTAACGATTATTTGTGATCACCACCTTTATATAATAGAGACTAGCACACTCTGAAATAGGAAACAGGGAAAAAGGGAAAGAAAATTCCTCTTTAAGTTATTTTCGATATTTCTGGGCCAGTTCTCACCACGCCTGTTTATGAGAGTGACTCCAATGACCTCACACATGGGAACAGGTCTCGCAAGGGATTGCTCAGATGAGTAAAGCTTGGGCCAGATCATGTCATTCAACCCCCACCATATTTCAGACCACGTTGATGACAAAAGCGGCAGCACTTTTTCGACTTCTTTTGCTCCTTTTTTGCTCTGGAACTTCTCCTCCCCGCCCCGCGCAAGCACAGCCACAGCTCTCAGAAAGTACTCGCCCTCAGCCACAAGTGCTTCTAAGTAGCTTCCTCAGCTCGCTTATTTATCAGGAATCAGGAGTGCTTTATGCTTTCCAGCTTGGCCTCTTAGAGAAAGAAAAAGTCAAAAGTGATAGCGCAGCAACAGATGAACCGCAAGTGAAGCAACACGCTGATGCCAGCATCACCAAGAACTAATAAACTTCAGCTTTAGCTTTAATTGTAGGTGCGACTACACATTTTCTTGTACTTGCTGCAGTACTTTTGACTAGCTTTTTTCATTTGAAAGGGTCTTTTGGTAACCATGAAACACTCCCAATCTGGCTTCCTGTATTAGAAAACAAAGTGTAACGTGGTATCAAAGCATGCAGTTGTTGCACAACCGTGTTGCAGGGTTTCCTGGGTCTGGTTGTATTACAGACCGTCGTTCACCACCTCAATTCATCTGTTACAGAAAGGTTAAACTCGAGTTACAGCAGACCACTACGTGATACCATTAGAAAGCTCTCAGGTTGATCTTCCCGGCCACATGTTCATTAGTGATGGCCAGAATCCACATTTTCTTTGAGTGAGAAATTCCGCTTTAAAACACAGGTGTCCTTACACGTAAGCCTATAGCTAGACCAACGGCTCGATTTGGCTTGTAGCGCAACATGCAACAAGGCAAAAGACCTGCGCTCAAGAGTACTCGTACTCCTCAGGCTGGCGAGGAGGAAGGTTAGCTAGCGCTGCATCAGCAGGTGCACCTCCAAGCAGTCACAGTGTTTTGCCACAGTGAAACTATTGTATACTGAGGGAAGGGACTTTTTATGGGATAAAATGGCAGCCCAAAACGCAGGGGCAGGTGAGACTGACCTGTGATCCCGACTCCCTGTTTGGGGGTGGTCAGAACCCCCTGGGCTTATGCCTTGGGCCGGGATTTGGTGGGCGAGAGAAAGCCCAGGCTCAGATGCATGGGTTACCCTGCTGCAAAAAGACAATATATAATAGAAAGTCTAAGCCAAAGATGTTCGTATCAGTTATAACAATGAGGAAGACAAACACTTATAGGAAAAGCAGTGCAAATTAACAAAGGTCAGAATCGCTATTTGGCAAAACGCATGTTCCCTGGGACCTGTTTTAACACAAGCTCCCAATGAAACTGTCAGCTTATTCAGAAAACTCTCATTATCATTCCTGGACAACTCTAATTGATTTTATTAGAAAACTTGTTTTATCAGGCCATTTCATCAACCCCGTTTGTGAAAAAGCTGCAGAAACATTTGGCCTGTTGGCATTCCTTCTGGGTGAACTGAACCATCTGCCTTTAGTAAAGAACACAAATGTTGTTTTAAAACATCTAGAAACAATTAAAAACGTCCCAAAAGAGCTTTAGGAGTCTCCATAGAGCTATACCCTTAGCAGAACCCTTGTTCATGGATCTGTTAGGTACAAGGGGTCACACAAAGGCATGAGCAGTACATTTTTCAGGAACTGCCCCATGTCCTGTCAGTGCTGCTCTTGAGGGCTGCAGAGCTCAAACCTTGCTCAGTGCCTAAGAAATTTTGCTTAAATGATTAATGGCACAAGTCTCTATCTGGTGCTTGGGTGTATACAAAAAAACCCCTTGTGCATAATATGTGCAGTTACTGCAGACTGATGCATATGTCAAATACTTTTGTAGGCAACTGTACTAGTGTGCACCTGCTTAAAAAAAAATGAATTCTGCACAAGGTATGACACAAATGAACCCAATTTTCTAGCAGTTGACTACACTGTCTCTACTAGTAACAGGAGACCAATAGTGTTACCCCTTTTCTTCCATCTCAACAATTATGCTTCATAGGACTCCCAAGGGCCACACAGGTGGACTTTCTAAATGCCGTCCACCGTTTCAGAACAGGTTTCAATATTCTTCTGTATTTCCCAGAGAAGGTAAGAAGGTAAATTTGTCTGGGGAAAGCCTCCATGTATTCTGAGGCATCCTCAAAGCAGCTGGCATTGCTTTTTGTTTTCCTAAATGAGTAAATGCTGCCCACAATTGGATCATTCTCAGTCAATTTTCTCTGCTCGTGAAGGAAGTTCTCTCTCTAACCAGAGCCACTGTGCATCCTCGGCAATTCTCTCCATTCCCCACTGAATTGGCACAGCATGTGGATCATTCAGTGGGAGCTCTATCTCCAAGTGGTGACAGGCTTGCCAAGAAGACTTGGATAAGCCATGCGGTCCTGTTCAATCCAGGATAGAACCCATAAGGAGAAAGAGCATTTTCCTGCCCGGCAGGTCTCTCCCAGGACCACACAAGCTGCGCTTCATCCCTAACAGGCTGCTGCACAGCCCTTGGGAAGTACAAGCCTCCCCTCTCTAGCACCAGGGCTGCTGCTAGATCGAGAGTCCATAACAAGCAGCAAGAAAGAAAATAGAGAATTAGGTGGAAATTCAGGGGCACCTTTAAAAGAGAAAAAAAATTACAGGGAAAAAGATTTCCAACTCACACTCTCTCTGTCTACCCACTTATTTAGTACTCCAAAGTTCTCAGAGCAAATGTATAATATACCAGCTGAGCAGCACAGAGGAAAAAATATGCTCATCGGGGTTTTTTGCTTTTACTGAAAATAATACTCTTCCCATGCAGTTACATTCACTCTAGGCTAAAAAGAGCTGATCTGGTTTCATTCTTTATGGACCAATTCAGCCCCAGTGTATACCTCTGCTGAATGACAGAATAATGGCATCATTAATTTAAACTTTTTTTTTTTTTTAACAAATATTGTTTAAGAAAGACAATTGGAAAATGAAGGTAAGCACAGGACAAGTTTCTAAAGAAGAATGTGCAATATCATTTGTATTCTTGGCAGTTTGGTCAGACTAATTTTGCTTTTATCAAACTGTCTCATGCAAAGAGAAAAGAAAATGAGCAAAATAATGTTCCAGTAGGAGTTTATCAGCATGAAGACCAAGATTACAGGGGCACTTGACAAATAAACTCCTCCAAGGGATCTGGGGCTAAAATTTCTGGTTCCATGTTGCCATTTTGACCATGCAATGTTATAATTGCAATGTGCATCAAACTATTATTTCTGTAACTTGTAACAGAGGGTCTTCTCTATGAACCTTTCTGAGCCTACTCACCTCAAGACAGTGCACTGCAGGTGGAAGAAAAGTTTCAGAACAAACTCAAAATCCCCAAACCGAAGAAAGCAGGGCCCAGAGAGGAGTTAGCATTATTAGTTTCCAGCAGGGTTGGTGTTAAGCCCATTTGCCCACACAGGTGCAAAGTTAGTACTAATGACACAGGGAAAGGGCACTGTCATTACCACTATGGTCAAAGAAGGGGTCGTTTCCGTGTGGTGTAAGTACTGTAAGAGCAGGCCAGTGCTTGACAAGCCCAGAGATTATGTTTCCAGCCATTCACCATTCATTCACGACAGGAGCCTGAACCAGTAGGCTTCAGTACATAAGAAAGGCTCTTTCCCTATGGGGAGCACTGCACACGTGGGCTCTTCAGTAAATGTAACCAACAAATCAATATAGAAAGCAACTCTAAGCCATACTGGAAAGGTCTGGGGATCAGTTGCTTGGTAAGGACTCTCATTACCCATTTATTGCAGGGCTTACTCAAGACTGGCTGTTTCAGGCTTACAACAATAAACTTCAGGGTACTCTCAAAGCAGACAGATACCTCTCCTAAAACCTCCAGGCAGGTACGCAAAGATACAAATCTCTGACTCTGCAATGGCCCAACCCAAGGTGAAGACAAGGCTAGGAAACAGGTTATCAGAAATTCAGTATTGAACCAGGATACACTCAGCAATGGCAGTTTACTGTAGACAAAAGCCTGCAGTGATGGTGCAGGCTGCCACCATCATTGGGAATTGCTATGGGAACGACTGTGAGGAAGCCTACATAAAAAAGAAAATTGATAGTTAATTTTTAAAGAATACATAAAAAGAGGTTGAAATACATTAGCCAAACCATCTACCAGACTATCAGTCAGCAATCAGAATGGGCCACAGAGCAAAAATGAGCTGTCTACTTTTCAGTACTCTTAATCTCCATCTACAAAACACAAATATGAAAACTGTACTTTTTGGCTTTGCTTTTATAAGTTCAGACTTACTCAGTTGAATTAGACCGTGGCCTAAATCTTTTGCCTCTGACTTTCTTTCTGTTTCCTCCTATATTACCTGAAAGAAATCAAAGGATAAAGACAGACAGTAAAACAACTTGAAACTCACCTGCGTCCCATGCCAAACTGTATATTCTTTTTGCATCCCCAGCAAAAGAGTCGTTACCTCATTAGCTTTAACCATTTAAAAGTCACAGGTCAGTCCCTCTTGATTTACCTCAGACCAGGTAAACTTGACACTTAGGTGATCTTTCTCTACTTTTTGCTGCAACTGTGCAGAGCAAAAAACTCCTTAATTTCAGCTTTCATTTGAGAAAATCACTACAATTCAAAAAAACCACTGAACACTGCCTGATAAAATCACAGAAGCTGGCAAGAGTGAATAGACTTCTTCCTCTTTCTCATGTTAGCTCACACTGGAGGAATGGGAGAAATTAAATGTCATTTCTATGTGCCAAAGCATTGTGCAAAAAAGGTACTTGTGTAGGGTGCTTCTAAATCCCAATTCCAGCTTAATAACAATTAGCACAATTTTAAGGAGTCATGCTGCTGTCCTAAGATCAGCCAAACTTTCAGCAGAGCAGTAATGGCTCAGAGGCTGGTTTCTACTGTGGCCAGCGTAGAGGTTCACACTTACCTTGCCAAGAATTACTCCTAGGCCTCCCATTTTCACAAATGTCTGAAATATGTTTTGTGTCTGGGATCCTTTCACTCCATGAATGAGATAATCCATTTGACCTGGAATAGGAGGGCTCAGATGCGGTTATTGTTAAGGGTATTGTCTCACATCAGTGTTAGTTCAGCGGTTCAGAGAGTCACATTCCCAAGGCTGGTGGCATAACACAGCCTAAGGTCTGTCTGCACTAGCAGAGCATCCAGGATTTCTGGTTAAACCCTGCAGTTACACTTTGCCAGTTGTCCCTGCAGTGGTTTGGTGTATCCATATTCAAGAGCCAGGCTTCAGCAATGCTTTCTCCCATGTCTACTGTGGAAAGCACAAATACCAGTGCACACCAGATTTCCAGCTCTGCCCTAGTTCTTAGCTGGAAGATGCTCTTCTAACTGTGCTCGTCTCAAGGTGTTTTTTCCTCACATCCCACCTGCAGGCTGCGCACTCTCTCCTTGTGCTGTTGCAGGAAAGCTGGGACTGCTTCCCTCTACCCACTGCGACAAGTCTCAGGGGTCCAGGAGTCTGCGATGAACATCCTCCCACCCACAGCTGGTAGCTCCAGCGGAAGGTAACTCTGTCTCATTTTTGCTTATTTTGAATTTTTATTATATTTTGTCAGCTAATCACTACAGTATATAATTTTAATGCCAAACTCAAAGCCAAAAACAGTCTTTATATGTAGGTGCTTGGTGCAAACTAAAGTTTTTCTTTCTTCTTGTACTCCCTCTAAGAGCCAGAGATGTGTGTGGCAAGGTCCAACACATGGGGTTTTGCAACAGGCTCCCTCCTGTTGAACTAGAGCTGCTGCTCAGCTGTTCGCCATGAGATCTACAATTATTACCAAAAGAAAAGAAAACAAGTTCAAAACTGGTCAGAATAGATGGCTTATCTATTACAAAGAAGTTTTGCTTAAAGGATCTATTTCTGTAGTTTTTAAGTCTGAATACTCTTGCATTTTTCAGCCTCCGCTTTCCTGGGAGGGTAGGCATCTGACAGATGCCCTTCAGCTTCCAGAAGACCAGGCTAATCACAGCCACACTGAATGAAGTCCAGGGTTTCATTCATTACTTACTTACAGCATGAAAGGTCTGAGAACCAACAGATCCTTTAAGAGATTTTATAATAATTTATCTTCTCCTCCTAATGGTCTCTTTTCAGGTTCAGGAGTGTCTTGCTATATACTGGTTTTGGTGTTTGCCATTTCATAATAGGAAGAGTTATCATAAAGTTATCTCTTAATCCTTGAACATCCTAATACTAACACTTCATAGTGCTTTCCAGCATGGAGAAGCCCAGGTGGCTAATGGCCCGGTCACTCTAATGTCTCCCAAGAGATGTAATCCGTATCTGCACACAAAGCAAATCAAAACCAGCTTGAAAGGTAGGAAATAGCACTCTGGGCATTGAAATGGGAGGACTATGTCAGCTCCACCACAATGTTAATGGAGTATTTGTCAGACTTACTTTTCCAGACGTTACAGTGGCACAACATACCTGAACTGGTGGTGGGGAACAACAAAACTCTCTAGTACAGACAGACCTTAGAAGCCATTAGCTTTTTGGAACAAATAATAAACAGAGACACAGGAAAGAAATGAAGTATGAAAAGAAACACAGATACTGAATGAAAGAAGAAACATATTAAATGATATTCATTTAAAAACAAACTATTTTTTCTTAACTGAAACCTGCTTACACAAAGCTATGAAAACTTGCTTCCCCAAGACTTCTTTAGAAATTTTATCCAAATGAGAAAAGATTCTCCAACACAAACAGTGCATCATTTAAGATTAACGCTTGCTCCCTGAAAACAAATAATTTATCCACTCACAAATCTAAAAAGTGGAATTTAAAAATTAGAAATCATTAATTAAGTATAGATTACTACAGTTTTCTTCATAACATATTCATTAGAACAGACTGAATTAAGTTGCATATAGGATCAAGCTGCTATACACAAATAGCAAATGTCACTGCAAATATATCCCTTCCATACATTTCTCTTCATTTCCTTTGAAATAACAACAAAGAAAATGGCTTCATCAACTGCACAGTTATAGACTGCTCAGCGAGACAAGAATTGAGAATTGCAGTTTTCTTATGAAGCAGTTCAGGATTGTCTATCCCTCCTACGACATAGTGCTTCTCATAAATTGTTTTAAAGCGCTAGCTGGAGATTTTCATAATTAAAGGATCTCTAACTGCAGAGGGATGATGAGCATCATGACCTAATGACCTTAGCAATTACAAATAACTCTCAATGCTTTTCAATGAATTTTCCATTTTAAAATGTTGATGGATTTTTAAAGCAACTGGAACAATAACAGAATTAGTGAAATCTGATCAAGGGCAAAATCTAATGCCCTCCTTGGTTACCCATAATAGCAAGCAGAAAACTACAGAAAGTCTCTGTAGAATTATTTTCTAAGATAACACTTGGTGACCATTTAGTATACCAGTCTAGTAAGTGGAATAAAATGCAAGCACCATCATCTTTAATGTGAGACAGCAAGAATATTATCCAGAACTGTAGGTCAACTCAGTGAATTAATGACGCTTACAAATAAGATATAAAAGTAACATTTATATTCAACAGCTTATGTTTATAACTATTATTGAAGCAAGACAGTGTTCCTTTTCTTTGATTACATGACCACGATTTAAAAAATTGTGGTTCTTCTATTTAGGTTTTTTTTGAGCCAGCAATTATTATTACTGTCTACTTGAAAACAATTCTCAAGCAGGAAGATGATGAAAATTTGATTAACTGAAAATTGGTTTACAATGGAAAACTTGTTTATTCTGGACTAATTGTAATAATTAGCAGCTCAGGGCATGTGAGAAAAATCAGTAATCAAAGCACAAAGGATGCTATTTCAAACATTCCACAAAGAAAGAAGAAAGAATCAAACCTGCTGCAAAACAATGAAATGTTCTGACTAATGGAATAATGGGTGATGGAACAGGTAGAAATCTGAAAATGCGACAGAAAAGCAGACCTCTTCTTAGAACTAGATGCAGAGTTTGTGCTGACTCCAGGAGGCATGTCGCTATAAAAAGAGTCGGCCTCTCCAGGCTTTTTTACATAATCTCCCTGGGGTATTTGTCTAAAGTATAATAAACATTGTAGAGTCAGAAAACATGACAGGCACCAGCACGCACACAAACATGCACAAATATTAGTTTAAAAGAAAGAGGCAAGGATTGCGATCCTTGAGGAAACCTGTTAACCACACACAATAAGCCTATTAATAAATAATTCAACCACCTGAGAGAAAACTCTCACATGCTTCTGATATGTGCAGAAAAGTGGATTATGTGGTTTTGGTAAGGGAAAACAAGGAACATTTCACTGATAAACTCTGATCACAATTTTCAAAGTGAATAGTTTGTGGTTCTTGAGACATTGGATAACCAAGTTCAGACATTTCAAATGGCTCATTGCGCTGGTTGTGAAAAGCATCCCCAGGTGCAGTACAAGTACTGCAGCCTGAGCTGAATGGCATGCCTGCATCAAAAAGGAGTTCAGGAAAAGTGAATGCTTTTTTCCTTCTGAGGTAGATGCTTTCCATTTAATTTTTGTGATCGTTATTGAATTCAAGAATAGCAACCTGTTGAGTCGTTTAAACCTCAGGAGGAGAAAAACCTTAGTTTATTAACTGTTTTCTTGTGCAGGGGAACTAATGCCAGCGTCAGAGGTTGTCAGCTACTCCTGATTACCACAGTAGACTCAATCTGCCAAGACACACAAAAATAATGCCACACACATCTGACAATAGTTTATCCTTTTCCAGTACTAGAAGCTCGGTTATGGTGCATAAAACTGTCTATGCATTAGAAAGTCCTAATCAAGTTATGCACTTTTTGCAGGTGAATTCATTGCCAGAAGAAAAACTGCCGTGCAAATATTCCAGTTACAGTTCCACCAAGTTGAAAAATCCTCCCTAGTACAAGTAGTTACTTTGAAAGCTGGCTATATCATAATACCAGCAACTTAATTATCTATTCAGCCTCGCACCTTTCAAGGCTTTTTTGCTTCAGTCTGCCCCTATTAAGATGCGCATTTATCAGAAGGTTGATTCACATTCAGACTGTGTCCAACTACAGACCTGAACTGGGGTCTCTTCATTCCGTATCTGAATTTCTAATGCTTCTAAAGTATTTAAAATATATAATTATATGGCACATAAATCATTAGTGTAACGCAGTACTTCCACACTATTTCTTCTAGCATCTCTCGAGTCTCAGTTCTTTCCCCATTCCTTGGCTGGTACATCAGTGTGTTCGGAGTCGACTCAGTGTGGGCAGCTCTGCTCTCCAGGCTTCCTCCAGCAAACTGCCCTTTCGGTACTCCGTCAGAAATAACTTCCCGTGTAGATGTCCCCTTTAAGCCACGCTATCCCACCTCGCAGAATCCTTGCTAATTTGCTCTTTTTATTACTTTCATTTTACTAATTTCAGTTGCTTAGTACTACCAAATATCATTCCGTATGTAATGCTCAAAAATACCTTAATGGCTTGTTTTCATCTTTATTTAAGGAGTAATCATAAACAATTAAAAAAAAAAGGACACTCTGGACACTCTGATGGATGTCTGTTTTTTCCATTTATGGAGCACTCCTTGTACATATCCACAATTATTCTATTTAGAAGTCAGCCTACAGAACTTCATTTTCTGCATGAAGGAGATTTAGTTGCTAAATATCTCCATCACCTTTAAAATGATGGAGCCCTCCATCATCTTCAAAAGCCTCAGCTTATGCTGGTTTCTACTCTGCCCATGCCCACAGACACAGCTGCAGACTGACCGCATACTCACAGCTCTCTGTCCACATACTAATTCCTGGAGATGAGGGAATTTGAAGAAGATAGATTCTCTAATATTCTGATGTGAACATGCATGGGGCAGTCTCTTTCTGTTTTGGCTGCTCTGTCCTCAGCCAACACTGATACACCCACAGTAGAGTGACTTGATGGCCATGTTAGTCTGTGCTTATAGATACATCGCGTGCCACTAAGCAGCACCAAACCCTGAAATCCTGCCTTCCTTGTGCCAGGTGACATTTCCTACCCACCAACCTCTCCATAAGGCTTGACTTCAATAGCTTTGCTTTTTTCTCATTACCGTTCCTGCCACCTATCTGACCTTGTAGTACGCAACCAGCACTTGGCAGAGCTTTTCTGCTTTTTGCAAGTATTTTGAGCCTGGCAGAGAAAGCGCTACACAGGTAGTGGAAATGGAGAACAAGCACAACGGGTAGCAGCAACAAAGCAAGCAGCAGCTTGGACCAGGAGGTGGTGATACAGGCAGAAAACAGGGGAATTTGAGAAACCCTCTTATCTGTGGAGGACTGGGAGAGGAAGGAGCCAACTCCTCCCCAGAAGACCCATCTGCCAGGCAGATGACTGATCAAAGGGAGGTGGTCTTCCAGGAGCCAAACCCCAGTCACGAGGAACTGTTTGGGTTTTGGCCACAAGCTTGAGAGGGCGAAAGCTCAGCCCTGTGCTGAAGACGGTACCATGCTTTAGCTACAAATCAGTAGAGCAGGGTGGCAGGAAAGAATGGGCTCTTCATTCGCACAGCAATTTAACTGCATTGTATTTTTAACTGCAAAGAAGCTCCAGGAATGAATTTGTCTCAAAAGGCTCCTGAACATCATGTTAATATTAATTATTCAATTCTCAGCCTCCCAAGAACACTTTCACTTCTAATAGCAGATTTTCAGTCTCTCTTATTGGAAATATTCTCCTGTTTTCCTAAATAAAACAGTCTATCTCAGAAGGAAACATTATTTTTGCTACTGAGTCCACTGAAATCAGGATTTCAAGCAATGCATTTATACAATAAATACCAATTCCAATATTCAAGCAAATATTCTTTAAAATATGATAATTCATCACTGTATTTTCTTTATAGAAAACATAGTGATCACTATATGTAAATGAGCAAGAGAGAAGAAAAGCTACCACATTCCATTACTTTTATGACATACCTCTGTCTTCTGTAGTTTCTTTCCATACAAAGAGAAGAGAAAGAAAGAAGAATGAGTTATCAGTATGCAGGTATACATGGTCAGTAAAAGAAAAAAAATGTAAAGACAAAAGCAATGCATGCAGAATGAAATTTTTGCTCAAAATATTTCTACAGAAAACACTTCTGAAATAAACATACTCATAAACATACTGAATCAGAATAAACAAGGAAAAGATACTCATATTGATGGCTAAAATAAGTGCTGAGTTCGAGGTGCAGTTCATGATGAGTTTAAGTCTATTCACTGTGAAGCTGCTAGTGGAAAGTGCACTCTTGCCCTCCACCTCCAAAAACCAATCCCACTGGCTAGATGTGATCTCAGAATGAGCCCTTAACTTTTGGAGTTGTACTCAAAATAGATGTCCAGATTTTCAGATACTGCCAGAAGCTGAGGGTGATATACCAAGACAGCATAACCTACCTTTTTACTACCCTAGTCTTCATACTTTTTTCCAAATGCTTCTTTCGTTACATGTTTCTGAGCTGCCCTCAGCCTACCTCAGTCTAGCAAACCAGCAGGGGATGAGCCAGTTTGTTACGCCAAACCGCTGGGGCCGTGTTCCAGCTACAGCACTGCCTGCAGCTGAACCTGCCCTGCCCTTCAACCACACCAAGGACCCGTGGAGGAAGGACTTCAGGAGCCAGTCTCACCCAAACACAGGTGACAAAGTAAGTACCTTGAATCTTTTTTTAATACCTGCAAAAAACCTAAACCCCCCTGGTTTTAGAAAAAATTCACAAAAGGAGAAAAATTGAAAAAGAGCAGTCAGGCTAAAATAATCCATTTTGCCTTTCAGTGAGTGGAACACTGACAGCTCTACACCAGGAGAGAACTTGCACCTTATTTGCAAATTACAGCTCTCTCTCTTGCTGAAAAACGCGCCTGAATTAATTTCAGGTTAAGCTGACAATATAAACATCTGTTTAAGGAAGCCTAAAGTTAAATGCTTTACTGACTATCTGAAGGCTAATCTTGCTAAATTTACGTCATCATTAGGAAAGATTTATAATCGAATCAGACTATATTCTTGTATTTCCTTTGTCAGATACCGTAAAATAATAATCTGATCATCTACAAAAAAAGAAAAGAAATAACTAAATAAGAATCAATTTCAAACCTGGATCAAGCTCTCCAAAACCACACACACATGCAAGAATTGCTTGTAAAATGCTAATACTATAAAAATGTCACTGTATAAATATAATCCAATTTGGATTTTTTAGATTATGTTTGAATTGTTCTTTTCATAACATAATCAGCTATCAGATGAAATAAACATTTTTAACTCTATTAAGAACAACACAATTTACTTACTTGTAACCCCAACCAGTTATTCCTAAAACGAGAGCCAACACTAAAATGGTGCCAGCGATAGCCCCTATTATTATATTTGTGCTAACAACACCTGGAAACACAAGAAAGGGGAAAAATGTACAGGGTTTTAGGAGAAAAATATACAAAAACAGTAAATGCACTGTCTTTCAAAAACCTGCTTGGACAACTTGCACTAGGCTGATTAATTGTAACCAGTGATATAATCTTGAAGTATAGCATGGACATAGAAAGATCATTTGTAAATCAAGCTTTAACCTCTGTGTCCGTTTCCCTTAACTGAACACTTGCTACATGGGAAAGTTGTGCCAGGTATGCCAATATAATGTTATCAATATTAAACTGCTGTAGCTTACATCCTTATAACCTGCCTGGCAAATACATGCTTACATTGGAATAAAAGTGACTTTTTTGTTTGTTTTTGCTCAAATCCCTTCCACAGCTGAATAAACTAAGCAAAAGAGACATTCTGGAAGATGGTAAAACTGTCCCCCCACAAGGATTTATAATGAAAAAGATTTACACCCTCACTTTTTCACGATATATCTTTCTCTTGTATGCAAGCCAGAAGATGAATAAAACTTTCACTAAAAAAATGTAAAAGCCTAAAATTTGTGCGCCAACATTCTGCATACTGGCCATGTAATAAAAAATTGACTCTACAAATAAAAACCAATCATGTAAGCAACATTACCTTTCCATCTAGATATGAAAAGTCCCAGTAACTTTTTACTTGTCTTAATCTATCAATATACTTAATAAGGCCACTCAGATGATTGGGAGAAGCAAGGTACAACCGGACACACTGGTACCAGTCCCGAGAGTTGTACTGAGTGCTTGTGAGCAGCACCGCTCGCATCCAGCCCCAGATCTAAGACCTCATTCACAGACACAGGGAGGAAGGGAAGGGAAGGGAATAAGGCTCCTAATGGTGCCTAATGTTGTATGCTAACTGAAAGAGTAGGAGATCCAGTTTTGCTTAATGAACCTTCCTCAAATCCAAGCTTTTCCAGTTATTGGTAAAAATTATAACAACGTACCTTTATTGATGGCATCTTTATCAAAAAATATATCATCTTTGATGCGAAAACTGCAGTCATCTCCTCCCCAGAATCGGTCACAGACACACTTTATTTCATTGCTACAAACCTGCAGCCAAAAGTGCAGCTCAGAATAAAATCATAAAATTAACATTTTCCCATAATTAATAACTACAGTATAAGTACAGTCATATAGCACTGATTTTGACTGCCTGCAAAATTTTGCAAAATGTTTTTAATATACAGCATTTTTTAATTTATATGTTAGGTATAAATGTATTAAATGTATTCTTATACTTTATATATAAATGTATGTAATATGTATTAATTACCTTAATATATTTTAATGTAATATATATTTAATAGAGCCATTTATAATTGCTTTGGGAGACTCTGAACCTCAAAGATTTTATTTTTTCAAAATATGATGAAATGGTTAATTTCAGATTAAAAAGGGAGTTTTAATGCAGTGTAAAAGACAAAAGATGTTATGAGAGACCAACTCCTTTGATCTCAGCTCAGCCGTAGGGACCTGGACACTGCTTCAAACCGTGTGAGGGACTATGGGACTCGCCAGGGCCACAGCAGAGCCATAGGCAGTGCACCGAGCGGAGAAGCTGTCACTAGCCAAGAGCCAGCTCGCTGCCCTCTCCTCTAGAGCAAAGTAACTCTCAGCCAACAAAATCCAACAACTTTATAAACCTTCTTGGCCGACATAATACAGAGGGAATTAAAAAGAGCATCTGGAAGAACAGAGACCCAAGTTTCTCAGTTCTTAAACCTTTATATTCTCCAGTACATTGCCTGAGGAAATATCACGTTAGCAGAAGTGATAGCAAAAGAATTGATTGATAAAATTTTTGCAAAACTAATATGTACTTACTGTGACTCATTGTTTAAGATGCCTTGACTGTGTGCATTATGTTTATTTATGTGCTTCCTCCCCCTTTCCTTTTCAAAAGCTTCTCCAGTTTAAAGACTTCTAGAGTCACGCTGCTGGCTTCCTGAAAGGTCTAGCTAGTACACTACACAACGCCAGATACTCAGCAAAAACAGAAAAAAGGATTAAAGAGTACAAGAACATACACCATGTCCTGAACAAATTTGGCTGTCTGTGGTGCCTGGGCAGGTACTGAAGTTGAAGGCCTCGGTGGGGAGGCAGCGATGCTCAAGGCACACCATGTTCGGCCCACACGGCGTCCCATTCTCCACATAGCCCAGGTCTGTCTCCTCATCGAGCTTCACATGGCCACCACTGCAAGACAACCAAGAGGACCCCGGAGGCTTGTGCTGTGATTAGATGGGACTGCTTGAGAAACTGGGCTCTGGGCTGCTGCCTTCATTTCTGTCTGCATTATATGATGCCCAGGACCAGGAAAGAGTAAGTATTGGCTTATTTATCTCACTGGCCCTAACGTGAAACAAACTAAAATGCAGCATACCTACATGAAACAAATGTAATGGTGAAAATTTTCCTGTGTAGGAGCTAGTGTTGGATAAAACATTGAGCTTACTCATGTAGGACTTTGTTTCATCTTACAGTTGTGTGAAGCTATGATAACACACCAGGTCTATAATTGGGATTCAGCTAACATATGGCAACGTATTAAGCTGCCAGTTAGCTTTGGCAGTGCAGGCATATGTCTAAGTATTTTGAGTACATTAAGTACTTCACAAACATTGATTTTACTATTGTAAAATTAAGAGGCCAGAGAAGAGCATTATGTCTCTTCAGGCAAAATTAACTACTACACAGAGGGGACTGCAAAAGCAAAACAGCTGCGCTCCTCACACACAGTCAAGTTCCTGAAGCTTAACAAAGGTTGAGCTAGAATAATGGTTATGTGTTAATAGGAAAAAAAAATTAATGGAAACAGTTGTTCTCCACTTAGGAATGAGAAAGCTGCTTTTCCATGTAAGATGGATATTGATTGTCTGTTCTGTTTTCAGGATTTCCAATTACCTGCAGTTGTAGACTTTTCCAAACTGCAAGATTGACGATGTGATTTCACCATCAAGTTCTCCAAGCCTGGGCACACTGGATATATTGGAGCACAGAAGGTATCCACAAAGCACATCCCTGCATTGAGAGAATAAACAGATACTCACTGAAAAGAAAATTCAGTGAAAATGGATGATCAAAAAAATGTGTTTTTCTTCACTTGCTTTGTAACGTTTGTTATTCCTTGCTTTTCTCCCACTGACAGTAACTCCCGTAAATAATGTCTTGTTTCCCAAGAAAACTATTTTCCTCAGAGCTTAGACTGGGAAAAGAGTATTATCAAAATTATCAAAAATATATTATCAAAAATGCTCTGAGTAATAGCAAGCAGTGAGCTGTCAAGAACAAACCACATCAAATTGGTTTATTATCGTATTAAGATACAGTAACTGGCCCGCAGAGGAGAAGCAGTAGATACTGGCTTTTGGTCCAAGTGCTCCCAAAGCTCAGATGGTGCTCTCTTGACAGAAATCATCTCCTCTCGACACTCCTCTCCCTCCAGAATTTCCTGCACTATGGTCTGCAGAAGAAGGCCAGGAGAAGTCTGTTCTGTACAGAGGCTTTTTGAGCCTCTTCATGCCAGCTAGAGAACTGGATCAGGGATAAAAATCTCATACCAGTTGTTTTCTAAATGGATCAACTTACTGTTTATTGCACTGTATCCAAGAGTCCTTGTCTCTTCCACAGTTCCCTTTCTCAGTCCCTTCAATATTCAGCTTCTCATAGCAGTACCTGTCAGCAGCTGTCACTTCTAAAAACAGAAACAAATCTCTTCTAAGATGATGAAGACTTCGAAAAGCCAGGTCCTGGGAAATGGCGATACACAATCAAAGCAAGCAGAGCTTCCCAATCTGTGAACTGCAGTACCAATGGTCTGCAAGTGGCCTGTGAAACTCTGCATGGTGTTCTCAATGAAAAGTTTTATGTTGGCACCACAGGACTGTTTTAAGATTTTGTTCAGATTGACCAGGATTTATTGGTCGAAAATGTCCAGAAGCCACTGAAATAAATCAATAAATATGAGTATAGGCTCCCTAGGTGGTTATTAATGAGAAGTTACCTAAGACTTCAGAATAATCACCAGTAAGTTAACCAACACTAGAGAAAGAGCTGGAAAAGAGGATGGAAAGACAAAATGAGGAGGGAAGAGGGGGAGGGACATATGTCCTGAATATGTTTCTTCCGTAATTTTTCTCAGCTAAGATAATCTTTCAAGCCACATGAACAACAAACAACTTAGAAACAATAGAATTCACTCACTTTCACCCCAGATATATTTACACTGCCGGTCCCTGGTTTTACATCTTCCTCCAAAACAAATACCCTAGAAAGAAAGAAAAGATACAGAAAAAGTTTCAAATAACTTGATTTTCCAAAATATGTATTTGTTTAATATACAGATTTGTCACATGCTTTCTATTGAGGCAACTACTATGTGATTCTACTTTCTGTTCATTTAAATGCTTAGCTCCAAAATATAACTAGCACCCAAAACTCAGGAATGTCAGCAGAACTGTCCCAGGTGACTTCCAAAGACCTTAAACCAAAATCTATAAAAAGGAATCTATAAAAGCAGAAAGAATGTAAAACAAATTGACGTGCTAATTACCTGCTTGTTATCACATGAATATCCATCCATTTTATGGATATTGGGAGAACACTATAGAAAGAGAAAATAACTAATATATCATAAATCAGACAAGCATGGAAGCAAAGCATACAACAAATGTCGTATGGAAAATTATTTCAGTATCATGCCTTTTTTTTCAGTATCAGCAGGTTTAATACAATTTTTATACACCTTACTATACAAAATGGTAACATCCATAGTGATTGAGAGACTACAGGTGTTTTTTTAATCTCTTGGATAGAAGATATAAAAATCACCTGACTGGAATTTCCTGTGCAGTTCTCTGCAATATCACAATCATTCACTGCTTCTCGGCACAAAACTCCTTTAGGTTCAAACTGAAAAAAAGGACAGAAAATTATTGTCTTGATTTCTCCATATCTTGCCTTAAATGCAATGCTTTCCTACGAGTTTTAACTAAAATAAAAAATGTGAAGTTTTCATGTGCTGACTGAAGTGGGAAGACTTTCCTTTCCCTGGTGCAGACGTTGCACGGGTCAAGCCACCGGCCATTTACTGGTGCAAGTGGTACCACTGAGGGACCCCCCGCTGAGTGCATCGAGTGTGGGGCCGAGCAGGATAAGTGCTCTCCCGGGACACAGGACCCCTGGCGTTTATCAAATCAATACTGCAGTGGCTTGCACCATTATCTTGACCAGGTCACTGTGCCTTTTTGTGACTATTTTACTCTTCTTTATGAAACAGGGAGAGTGATCCTGATCTTCTTTCTAGGGATGAATAACACTGCAAAGCTCTAGGTATAAACACTATGGTTATTACAATGCTCCATTGTAGAAGAGAAACTATTAATAAATGTACTGAATTCCATATGGTTTGACACCATTTTCTAAGTGACCAGATATTTAACAACGAAAAATGTATCAGTGACCTAACATAGGCATTTTGGTTAAAGACTTCTGTGCTAACTCTCAAGACTTGTAAAAGCAGGAAGACATCCCATTAGTGGCAATTGTTAGTGCAGACCTCTTATTTTCCCTGAAAGGTTTCTTAAGTCTGTGATATTCAGTTCATTTTGCAGCTGTGTGACTTTTTTTCCGGATCTGCATGCGCATACATTTTTTTGGGGACAACTGCTAACTCCACAGCTGGCGTGAACGGACACACGTCAGTGGAAGAGCTAGACTCTGGTACTTTCTCAGCCTTCAGCTTATTTTTTCCCTACCAGTCTCTGGAAAAATGCAGACAGACAAGAATGTTGTCAGAGACACTACAGATGCTGGGATGTACACCCACCATGTTTTGCTTGCAATCCCTCCATCACTCCTGCTTTCAGGCAGGGTATTACAGGAGAAGGTAACCCCAAGTTTGGGAACTGTTATACATGGTCTTTTGAGTTGTCCTGATTAACACCTCCTAGGGACACGTGTTTTGCAAAATTCTGCCTTTCCTTTCATTGGCTCACCTTCGCCACTCTGTATGTAGATAAACCCTTCTCTCGTTTGCAAAAAAAATGTAGGTATGCAGAAGCTTAATTTTTTTCTGAGAGTCTTTAATATGGTGCCTATGTGACTTGGATACTTGAACAAAATTCACCCACACTGGTAATCTGCTAATCTTTGATCTTATATTAAAAAAAAGGAATGTGCTTAGGGAAATGTGATCTGTTCCAGCATAATCTGTGCTTTTTCTTTTTTTAACATTAGGATGAGCACGAAGTCAAGAATGTGGTCCACAGTTATTACTAATGCTCTTCCTAAGGAAATGAAACCCTCAAATGCCCACAGATAAAGATAAAAATATCACACAGAGTACACCACGGTTTTAATAACATTAATAATAATTATCATTACTACTAAATGAGTATAAACAACTATTTTAAGTCATATTTAGCTGGGCTCCCTTCCTTACAGCCAAGATCTGGCTAAACCTCCTTTTACTATTTACCGAGGTATCAGGAAGAATACCTTATAGTTTACACAGGGCTTGATTCCCTTTACTCAACAGGATTTCAGTCAGTCCAAACATAAGGAGATACAGGCAGACCTAAGTAAAATGGAAGTCAGGTGTCTTTTAGATGAACGCTTCTGAACAATTCTGTTAGCTGCGGGTTTTTTGGGGTTTTTTTAACTATATCCTTCTCTCGGCCCTCTGTGGTACGATCTTCCCATTCAGTCTCATGGGCAAATCCAGAGCAACATGTAAGGCTTTGGGAGCAGCACATGGGTAAGGATGTGCATGTTTAAACAAGGACATCTAATGAAACCTCGTGGAACTTCAACCTGATTCAAACTTGTCTGAAACTGGAAGGCTTTAATTCAGCTCTGCATTTGATCACAATCCCTGCCCCAAGAAGCCCAGGCTAAAAGAAAGAGAATAGCCCCAGACGAACCAGTTTTCAGCCAATTTTAAAAGGCAAGCTTTCAGAAAAGGAAACACAAGGTCTGCAAGGAAAAAGACGTGCTGCGGTGCCTGTAGCCACCTGGATGCATTACTGTCAGGACGCTGCAGTGAAGGTCACTGCCCTTACCCGGCACTTCCGACAGCAAAGCCCGTTGCTGCACTGGGAACCTGCCGTCAGGGTGCAAGTATTGCAGCACTCTCCTCCTTCGCTGGCACACTCCTGGGGAACACACACACTTATAACAGAATACATGGGAAAAGCAGATGAGCCGCAAGCTCTCTTATTACTTCTCATCTTAGCTTGCTACCTGAACAGATTTTTAACCAGGCTTTTAGGCACCTGGAGGCAGAAAAAGAAGCATGCACTGTCAGGTATGAAGCTCCTGCACAGCTGTTTGCTATGCAATATAGGAAATAATTTTCCTAACTTCACAGTTAGGAATCATTAAATACTGACATTTTAGCACTGACCAGAATCATGTTCCCATCTAGGAAAACACTTTCTTTAACATCCTTTAAGGCTTGATTCTGCACAGGTAGCTATTGCTATTACTCTTCAGAATTTATGTGGTGATAAAATAAAAAAGCTGGCCCACATTGTGTTAAACATGATGGAAAAAGGTAAGAAATGATGAATCCCTTGCCATAGGACCTTAACATTGCTTGTCTTCCTCCACTTAATGTCAACAGCAGTGATGGGCAGCACCCACATTGTGTTAAACATGATGGAAAAAGGTAAAAAATGATGAATCCTTTGCCACAGGACCTTAACATTGCCTGTCTTCCTCCACTTAATATCAACGGCAGTGATGAGCAGCACCGTGTCCTGGAGAATCTAGTGGCTAATTTAAAGTACGTTGCACTTACCGCTATTGTCCCACAGTCACACTCTTCTCCGTCTTCCACAAAGCCATTGCCACATTCTGGAGGATCCAGAAGCTGCAGGGCAAAATCAGAAATCAAAGGGCATGTGTCTCCTAAGGGAATCATTGTCATATTTATTCTGTACAACATGGAGTTTTTTAGCTAGCACTCCAAATGCATTAACCAAAACACAGTACCCACAACTCAGGAAGAAGCAGACTAGAAACAACACAAACGAAATGTGAGAGAACGAACAATGCTGTGAATTAATTCATCAATACTGCAGAGTCACATGGAGTCTTCTGTGTGAGACTGCCATTTTTACAGCAGATTCAGTTTGAGCAGAAGCCACAATCAAAACAAAAGGTGTGACAATAAAAGAAAAAATTTAAAACAATATGACATTTTCATTATCATCACAGGGGTTGCAATTGCTGTTGTTCTGAAATTGAAGTGATGAGGGCTGTGTCCCCGGTTGATGCCTGCATAATACCTCCAGAAGGAATAGCCATAAAAAAAATTGTCCTTTGGGAGCACGTGGCTCAGAAATGCAGGGAGAGGGGAGAGGCTGGGTTTCTTTGTCAGTTTTTTTTGCAGTCGGATGCTTTTTCCTTCCCTTTTTCTCTACCACAGTTGGGAACTTTCAGCAGTTTTCCATAAGCATGTGTCACAGACATATCAGAAAGTATAGCTGGTGAGGCTTCCTCCCCTTCCCTTCAGCCTCCCCACTAAACTGTAACTTAAAATGTCTAAATCTGTATATTTGTACTAGTACTTTCCTTTCCTAGAGGCAAAATTCATTCACCATTTTTCACATAGGACCCATGCTATGTTATCTTTTAATGGACGCCTATACTCTGTTCTTTTCAGTTTCATTGCTTCCGTTTTCCTAAAATTTCTAGAGGTAATTCTTCAAGAAGAAATAACATGGGCATAACATTGGGCATAACAAAACATAAGAGTACTTTTACTACATAAACAAGAAGTCATATAAGCGTGTCACCAAGCCTAAAATTTTGCAGATTGTCCTCCGAGTTCTCCAATTAAACTAGGATCGTTCCAGAAACCACTCTGCTCACGAGCCATCTGCACAAGTATATTGCTCATGGTGTACAGTGCATTTTTCTCTGGCTGCTGCCTTTCTGCCAGTAGCCCACAGGATGGAGCATCATCCTGCGTACTTCGCTGTGCCACAAACCAGCCTGAGGCTTGTGGTACAGGCTGACGTGCTATTATTAGATCCCCCTATTGAAATGGAAATTTGACTGCAGCATGAAATGCGTATGTAGAATGTTACATTAAATGTAAGCAAGCAATTATCTTTTAGAACTATTAAAGAGTTGTTAAAAATGTTTGTTTCCATCATATTTTCCCAGACATCTTAACTTCTTCAGTATCTCTAGGTGTGATGCACAATACAGACAAGTAGATGGCAGTTACAGAGGGTCCTGCCTTGAAACATTGGGCCAATTTGCTGCAGTAAATAGGGACAGCTAAATATGAAATGGAAGAAAAAAAATGAAAAGCAAATTGGGTAACTTTTCCCCAAAAGTCATATAACTCATCCATTCATCTGAAAAGAGCATATGCTCAATCTGCTCCAGCAGTCATTGATGTAATTTTCGGGATCACAGCTGATCTTACAGTGGCGCACTGTCAAACACTGCACCTTGTCACATCAGTTTTCCTTTATCTCGTATTTCTTGAAAAGCAAAAGTAAGTTTGTGTTTCACCACCTTTGCTAGGAAACACGTCTTTGACAGCCTTGTGAATTACAGACATCCATTGACAATAACTTTAAACCAACACAAACAACGATACATAAAAGAGTCTAAATCACCCTGGCTTCCACATCTAACTTTCACATTTCCACATGCCATTAGAAAAAATTGTAAATGCTGGCAATCTAAATTGAGATGAGAGTAATTGGATTTTTCCAAGTGACAGATGTGTAAATGAACATAATCGCTACAACAAGCCCAAATAAGACACATTACACTATGGAAACAATTCACTCAGCAAAGAAATAAAACCACCAATATTTCTCTCAACATATAATGAGATGGGAAAAAGCAAACTTCTAAAATGCAGGTGCATTTTAAAGAATGAAAAATATTACATCTTATTAACGAATTACAGTGCTATCTCTCCACTTTTAATAATACATTCTTCCTTGAAAAGGAGACCTTTGAGAGATAAGCAGACTCAGCTTATCCAGATTTGATGCCTTCTCTTCCCCTCTCTAACATTTATGGAAATTCTGTGATTGTTGGAACATGCACTTTTTCTTAGTCGCTCCAGGAGGAACGCGCATCACTCCAGAATTGACTTTGTCTTTTACATCTGTGACCACCTCAGCTACCAAGTCTTTTTTCCACATTGCACTGTCTTTCTGCCTTAGCCTCTTTCCTTTGCTTGTTGAAAGACAGCCATTAAATAGAAGATAACATTAATTATATATAGAAAAGAGTCAAGATCATTATCCTGATTACTTTACATTTTAACACATGCTTCAGTAAATGGAGCAGGAATATACTGAAACCCTGCTGCAAACCCTCCATTGTAGAAGTGCTTGCATCTTGGCTGGAGTTTCTTAAGCCTTGTTTTGTATTTATCTCCCTTAAATGTCTCAGTTAATCATTTCACACTCTTTGCATCCTTCACGTGAATATACCTGTTTAGCAGGCCAAAATTGAGATAACAGAAGCAAAGAAAAGGCGAATACTATCTCAAGAGATATTCCCCACTTCTGCTTTCCAAGACTCATGCAGCAAGACCTCTGATTTCGTACTTCAGAGGCAAGTTTGGAGGGGATGGGTTAATCATTTAAGTGGGTCCCAATGCTTTTGTAGCTCTCCTGCCCCCAAGCCTTTAAGGAGGTAACACACCCTGCTAAATGAGGCAAGGTACAGTGGCACTGAGGACCAGGGTCCAGCAGGGATTTGCCAGCCTTCCCCGTCTGGGGGACGCCCCAGCACAAGGCAGGGCTGTGCAGAGCCACATGAGTTGGCTTGGAAGGAGCTAACACAGGGCTAAGATGATCTGAGCACCTCTCACCAGACACGTTTCTCCCCCAGCACACGTGGTTCAGAGGATGACAGACGCTGGTGACAGTGATGGGGACCATGAGGACAGTGCCTGGGGAATGAGGAGTGTGACGGGTACCCAGCAACCACGGGCTCTCCCCACGGAGAGTCACAGTAGTGACTGTCCCCTACTCCTTGGGGCTTTCTCTCCTGCTCTGACTCTTCCAGCTTTAGAAAAACTAGTCCATTTCCAAACTCTGTTCTGAGAGCCACTGTAAAAACTTCGCCTTCTCCGAACAGGGAGAATATCACAACCACTGGTAACTGCTGGTGCCTGCAAAGCCGTTGGGCTGCACAGCAGTGCACCCCCTGCAGAGGCTCTGGGAGTTGTGTCTTCATCTTGGGACACATGTGAAATAAAAGCAATCTTACCTCAACTTCCAGAGATTTGTACCAAAAGACATCAGTTCAACGCAAATTAGAATTCAAACTGCAAAAATTTACCAAGACACTTGAAACCTCAGCAAATAAATTCAGCAATATATTGTATTTACAATATTCAGAACAAACTGTGTGAGGGACGGTTCTAGATCAAAGCCTGTGGGAACTCTGTTGGACATGAAAACACTTATTAAAAAATTATTTAAATATAATTTCCAAACTACTATGAACTAAAATCAGCTACTTTCACTCATATCATAGAATCATAGAATAGTTTGGGTTGGAAGGGACCTCTAAAGGTCATCTAGTCCAACCCCCCTGCCGTGGGCAGGGACATCTTCAAC